ACACACACACACACACACACACACACACACACACACACACACACACACACACACGTACTTATTTACAAAGAGAAACCAAAACTCCTTTGCTCCTGCATCAAATTCATACAACTTAATCCAATCTAACAGAATGTTATAACTGTTCTTCTACAATATGTTTCAAAACTCAGACTTAAGATAGAAATTCACAACTGTTTACAAGTTTCTAAGCACATATAATTATTCTTCCCCCCAAGTATTATACTGGTAGGAAAAAATCTGAATTTTCAACTACTCAAAAGCTTAATTTTTCATAGGTATCCATCTTCAGTCTTTTCAATTCTCTATTAGGAATAGTTCACTATTGGCAATTTTACTAGATGTAGGCAAATTCAATTTAAAAAGAAGAAAATGACAATCCAGTCAATGATGTAACTCAGCATCAGGCTTGGAAAACTTTTTTCTAGTGAAGCTAAACTACTACTACCACAGTTGTCACAACTGAAAAAGAAATCCCACTTGTGTCAGCCCCTGTTCCACGCCCATAACTTGAATAAAAGTGAGTACAGTAAACCCAGTGCTCCAGGGCCCCTTCCTTCTTCCGCAATGCTGTAGCTTAGAATTTCCCTCTCCTTTCTCCCTCAGCCAGCTGCTGCCTGGCACCACCCCACCAACCCTGTTGGAGAACTCATACCATTGTGGTATCTTTGGTGAGACATCAGGCTGACAAGAAAGTTGGCAGTTAAGGGAGAGATTTCATGTGACCATCTCTTCCATGACAAAAATGCCTAAAGTTTCCAAGTTTTGTTATTTTTAAAATGTACTCAAACCACACATCAGTAGCTTTGCAATTATCACCTAGAAGTGTTTTTTTCTTTCCTAGGAAGATCTCAGTAGAAAAAGAGAAGAACTGAAAGGGAATCTTTTTATCCTGAGTTCCTAACATTAGGAGCAAAAACCCAATTCCAAAGGATGATACATTTACATTAAAAAATTAAAATTAAAAAAAAAATAAGGAGAGATGGTTAAGTTTGCCTTCTGTTTTGTAGTGGTTCCTTAAAGTTGGAAGAAACAGGTGGTAAAAGTGGCAAGGGACAAAAATAGGTAGGTGATTTCTTTCCCCCTGTGCCAGAGATTGAACTCAGGACCTCACATCTGCCAGGGAGGCACAGCACCACTGAGCTACATCCCCAGCCCACATCAAGCTACTTGTGGTAGGTTCTTATATAAACTAAGCATAGGGGCCGGAGATTTAGCTCAGCGGTTTTGTGGACTGCCTTGCAAGCGCAAGGACCCAAGTTCAATCCCTGGTACCAAATAAATAAATAAACAAACAAACTAACTAAGTATAAAAAGATTACCCAACCTATCTTCACCTCAGTTTCTTCATTTTGTAAAATAATATCAAGGGCTATGAGAATTAAGAAATATAACTAATAAAGACATTATCAGAGTCTGTTACAGTATGTGCTCAAAAATATTTCTTCTTCACTTCTTGGTTTGGGACTGTTAAGACAACTTTTAGTCCCATGTAACAAAAGTTTCCCTTAACATCCTAGGCAACAACTCATGCTTTTTTTCTAAGGAGCTATGCTAATTTCATTACCCAACCTTTCCACCACACCTCTATTCCAATCAAACTGACTTTCAGCTCCTCCAAATACGCACCATACAGAGCTCTTTCTGCCTTTTCCAAGAATGTCCCTTTCTCTACCTCCACAAATCCATCCAATCAACAGTCTCACTGAGCATATTTTACACACCAGACACGATGGCTTACACAGCACCTGCCAACAATATGCTAGTTAATGAAGTGTCCTGATGTAAACATTTTTGGAGTAATTCTTTATGCCATCCATTTAATTCTATAAACCTTCATTATAGTGCATGAGTTTTATAATGCTTTTTTTAAAAAAGAGGAGTTGGAAAGGTCAAGTAGTATACCCCAGGTTAAACAATTTATAGTATAGTCCAGAATCAAATCCTGTTCCTGCTAAGTTCTGAACTCCTAACCATGCTGCACTGTCTCAACACTGAGGAGGGAATACCTCATTCTATCCGAGTCAGGAAGTTCACTCCGTGTGGTAATACTTGAGTTGAATGAAGAATCATTCATCCATTCTACAAATATAAATGCCTACAATGTGTCATACACCGAGGAAGCACTAGGGATACAGTAAGGTGTAAGACAGGAAACACCAACTCATAGTGTAAAGGAAAGTCAGGAAACAAGTAATTATATTTGCTCTTCTTCAAGCCTGCCTTTAACCACCACTGAGGAACTTATCCTTACTCTGAACTACCAAAGCATTTTTTTTTTATTAGGACATGTTTGTAGTACACGATTACATTCATTGTGGGAGGCTGGTACATGTACATATCTTAATTCTTTTTACATCCCTTTCCTAACTTAGCACTTTATTCTAAATGTTCCTTTCAAAGAAGAATACTTTTCCCTTTATGTTATTTAACTTTTTTCCAATTATCAATGATACCCCTCCATACCCCTGGGTTCTGCATCTGTGGATTCAACTGACCTCAGATGGAAAATGCTTAGAAAAAAAATTCCATCTGTACTGAACAGGTAAAACTTTTTCTTGTCCTTATTCCCTAAATAATATAAAAAAATATTTATGTATTATTTATATAGTATTATAAGTAATTTAGAGATTTCAAGTATAGGGGATGCTGTCATAGGTTACAGATTTTATGCAAGTCCTACGTCATTTTATATAAGGCACTTGAGCATCTGTGAATTTCTAGTAGCCTGGAGGGGGTAGGGAGTCCTGAAACCAATTATTCCCTTAAAGGTTTATTTTTCTGGTGCTGGAAATCAAACTCAGGACCTTGCACTTGCCAGGCAGGCGTGGCATCATTAAGCCAAATTCCCCCAGCCCCCCATTACAGGTTTTGAGGGACAACTCATGGGTTTATTAACAAAGACGTCACCACTTCCTCCCCTACATTACAGTTATGTGCAGAATTCCTTTATCAAATACTAGACCGTAAGCATCTTCAGCATCTTTTTTTAGGGGGGAGGTACTGGGGATCGAACTTAGGTCCTTGTGCTTGCAAGGCAGGTGGCTAAATCCCCAGCCCAGAGCCCAGAGTGTAAGCACCTTAAATGTAGGATAAATGTTTAACTTATCTTGGTAGGCCCTACACTATCCTGCATGTGGTAGATAATTTAAGAAGAAATTTCTGTTTTGCAATTTAAGTAACCAAAATGTTTTTGTTTAGCTGTGAAAAACAATGTTTTTATGAATGACAAGATTTGACACAGAATCATAGAAAAAATTGGGCTTTCAGTTTGCAAAGGAAGAAATAATCTCCTAAATACCATAACACAACAGCAATGTATCTTTCTTTGCACATTATCAATTAGCTTCCATAAAGTTAGATCATTCTGATATCCTGCCAAATTGATCTAAATGGAATTTTGCCCATATCCAGTACAGTTCTAGAACAAGATTATGTGTAGGAATTGGTTTCTCCTATGTTCCTGGTCCTCCACAGGTACAAAATAATTAAAGGTGCCAGGATAAATCACCCCAGATAAATTACTGACCACAATTTAAAGGACTACCTCTGTTGGTTTCAGGTTCATCAAGTATCACAAAGGAATCTTTATCAGCACCGAGCCGGGGTTTAATGGAAACATCGACTCCCAGTTGTTTCAGTCTATCCACAGTGAACCTTCTCACTTTTTCAGGTACTACAACTGCTGATGGTTTAGTTTGCTGCACGGGTTCTTCCAATTTTTTCTCTGTTTCTTCTGTTTTTCGTAGGCTTTGTTCTCCCTCCAGAGCACGAGGTTCAGATGCCACAAGCCCTCCAATCTGATATTCCTTACTGGCCATGTTCCTGAGGAAGCTAGATTCTTGTTGCAATACTGAGCTGTCCTCAGGTGAAGGTCTAGCATCATTCTGTTTCTGTTTTTCCTGAATTTCTAGCTCTTCACTTCTCACTAGATCTGTAGTGCAAGTCTCATCTGATCCAGTAGCGATCTGAGGTTCCTTTGAGACCACTGGGAGTTCATTAATTTCCATTTCACATCCTGTACTGTTTGTCTGCTCAGAACCTTTGTTACAGTGGTCACCATTCATTGCAGTTGTCTTTGTAGTGTCTATGATTTCTTTATGATGGCTTGATTTATACTTAGATGACCTAGAGAAAGAAAAATGACCAAGAATTCAAAATTATCCTAAATGTGAGCACATAGTGAATCAGTAAAATCAGTTCTAAGGGAATAAGGAATCTGGACTTTTTGTACCCCATTTTGCTACAAACTGAATATTCACACAGATTAGTGACAAGGAAAAAAGGTTCTTACTTCAGAAGTGCCATGGCATTTCCCTGGCAAGTGGGCCGGGGTTTACATTTGAAGAAATCATGAATGGTTTTACTCTCAGGCATATGATATGGAAGATTAAGTGCAGACTCTGAAAAATGGAACAAAACGAGCAAATAAACTATATATTCTGAAATATCACTTCATATTCAATTAACAGAACAGTATAACCAAAGCTACCACCAGAAACTGAAAACAATTCTGCCTTTGACAAAGCAGGCACTAAGTATGAAAGAGTTCCCTGAAGACCAAGAGCTTTAAGGCCTAACTATGGAATCAAAATAATCCAGGAAGTTTTAATAAAAATAGATTATTGGATTCCATTTCAAATTAATTGAATCAGAATCTTTATGGGACCTAAAATTCTATGTATTTAAAAAATCTCCTGAGCTGGGTATGGTGCATTATGCCTATAGTTCCAGCTACTTAAAAAGCTAAGGCAGGACTGGGAATTTAGCTCAGTGGTTCCACTGATTGCCTGGCAAGCACAAGGTCCCGAGTTCAATCCCTGGTACCAAAAAAAAAAGTAAGGCAGGGGGATCACTTGAGCTCAGGAATTTGAGACTAGTCTAGACAACATAGTGAGACCCTGTTTAAACAAAAACAAACCTCCCAAAAGTTTTTGTTGTTGTTGTTTTGAGACAGGGTCTCACTATGTAGTTGAGTCTGACCTGGAACTCACTATGTAGCCCAGGCTGGTCTCGAACTCACAGCGATCCTCCTGCCTCAACCTCCCAGTGCTGGGATTACAGGCATGAGCCACCATGCCCGGCTCCAAAAGAGTCTTAATGCAATCAGTCCACAGCCAACCATTAAAAAGTTTCCTTCTGGAAATTTTCTCAGCTTTTCCTAATGTACTGAGGAACAGTGGGCACTCACCAAGATAACTGTAAGGTTAATATTAGAATTAAAAGTGTTTAAAAAAAAATCCCCAATACCCAAGTTGAGCTTACAGGAAAATATTGTGATTTTCCTCCGTTTATCATATTTATTTGCATTACCTCGTATAAGGCGCTGAGTCTCACTATGCAGTTTTTTTAATGCTTCTTTACTTAACTTGGCTGCCTTTCTTTCCTTAAAAATAAAATGTGAGACATTAGGGATATTATCCAGAAAGATGGATATTCATCTCTTAAAACTTTGTTCTTCTCAAGACAAAAATGAACTGCAAGCACTAATAAACTTCTATACAGTATAAATTCAAGGAGCTCATTTATTTGCAAGTCTCAGAAAAGTCAATCCATATTCATGTTCCTACTATGCATAAAGCAAATGTTGGGTACGAGGAAAATAGGACAGGAAAGACAAAACACCTATCCCTGAGAAACCCATGATCTCCCATAAAGAGATCAATGTACCCACTACTCATGGCTCTTACCTTTTTCATAGGTCCTTTTGATAACTCACTCTCTTCTCCAGATGAAAAGACCCTAGTTTCCAAAGATAATTCCTTTTTCTGAAAAAGATGGCAAGTTGATTATGAAGACAAAAACTTTACTACATCATGCTAAATTACTAATAAATCAGTAATTATTAGGGGGCCGGGGTTTTAGCTCAGTGGTTCAGTGGCCTGCCTTGCAAGCGCAAGGACCTGAGTTCAATCCCCGGTACCAAAAAAAAAATATATCAAATAGAAATTTTTAAGCTGAACATAGTGGCTCACATCTGTGATACTAGCTTTGGGAGCAGGGGACCCAGCTGAGGAAGGAAGATTGAAAGTTCAAGCCCAACCAGGCAACTTAATGAGACTATGTCTCAAAATAAAACTTTAGAATATGCAACATAGCTCAGTGAGAGAGTGCTTGCCTAATATGTAAGGCCCTAACTTCTATCCCCATTACTGCAAGGCGGAAAAAAATGGAAGAAAGAAAAAACAAGATATCTCAAAAGGAATTTGGACCTTTGTTTCTTTTACCTCTGTTCACATTTTTTCCCAAAAAGGGATAATAACTTCTAGGAAGCTAAAGAAAATACTAAGAAAAAGTTATTCTCTTTTTTGTTGTTGTTGGCGGGGTAATACTGTAAATCAAATACGGGACCTCACACATGCTAGCCAAGCACTCCAACACTGAGCTACACCTCTAGACCTTAATACTTTCAAACAATCAAGACAACAATGTTTTGACTCACGCCTCTGTATCACTGAGGTACACCTCCAGCTCTTGCCTGAGGGGTACTGGGAATCAAACTCAGGACCTTGTGCTTGCCAGGCAGGCACAGTGCTACTGAGCTACATCCCTGGCCCCTCTTGCCTCTTTTTAACACCCTTCCCAAAATCCTATAGAGTTGATGTTTCAAAGGCCATCCAACCATGAAATTTACAGCTCTGAGGCTGGGGATTTAGTTCAATGGTTCCACTGCCTGTCTTGCAAGTGCAAGGACCCAAGTTTGATCCCTGGTACCCCCAAAAATAAAAATAAAAATAAATTTACAACTCTGCTCCATTATTTACTTGCTTCTTACCATAACATACCCCAGCATTCCTAAAAAGGCTATCACAAAGTACCTACTAGTTTCCAAGCAAATTTGCATGTCTATCACCTATACTGAAAGTTTCCAAAATTAACAAGTGAAAACTTTAATCAATCAACACATTTTTCTTCACTAAAAAAAATTAATGTGGCTCGATCCCTGCTACTCAGGAGGCTGAGAAAAGCAGACTACAAATTTGAAACCAGCCTGGACAACTAAGGAAGACCCAGTGTCAAAAACAAAAAGGGCCGGGATACAGCTCAGTGGTATAGGGCTTGGCTAGCATGTATGGGGCCCTGAGTTCAATCCCCAGTAGTGAAAAAAAAAAGGTTGCAATAGGAAATAAAAAATAAATATCATAATAGTTGGCCAACTTATAACCATGCTTCATTTACCTTGTAATTTTTTACTTTGTTCTTCACAGCTGCCCTTATTGATTCTAAAGATTCTTCATCCTCCAATGCAGAATTATTTTCCTCCTCCAAACCCGTTTCAAAAAGGTCTTTATCCACAAGAAGACAGCCACTGTCATTCAATGGCTTTTCCATATTATTTTCCTGGACAATGCATTAAAAAAAAGATATAACCTAATCATTCTGAAGTTCAACATCTCACAATATTATATAGCAATTTGGACCAAGCCAGAAAACCCCAACTTTCATCAAAAGACAATATGGCATCTAGACATTCTTACTGGTTCCTAATCCACCATTATCATTTGAAATTCAATCTGCAATTTTTATAGCTATCCAAAATTAACTTAGTATAGCCAGGGATTTAGTTTAGTGGCACCACGCCTGCCTCACAAGTACAAGGTCCTGAGTTCAATCCCTGGTACTGACAAAAGAGAGACAGAAAAAAATTAACTTAGTAAACAGTAAAGATTTTTGAAAAGTCAACTAAATACTTAACTCAAGTGACATCTTGTTTAGACCTTACTGAGCTTATGATACTTGAAGGTGATGTTTCTAGTTAGCAAACAAATGATGCATTAAAAAAAATGTCCTTTCAGAGTTAATTTTCATCAGATCAGAAGCAGCAGAGAATTATTCCACATATTCACAAAGAAAATCAGAAACCCATTTATCTGGGAGCATCGTCTGATTATCTACAACAGTGAACAGGACCAGTAAGGTTTTTTTTTTTTGTGCGTGTGTGGTACTGGGGATTGAACTCAGGACCTTGCTCTTGCAAGGCAGGCACAGTGCCGCTGAGCTAAATCCCCAGTCCTTGTTTTAGTTTTTTAGAGAAGGGTCTTACTACATTGTTCAGGGTGGTCTTGAATTCACCATGGAATCCAGGCTGGCCTTGAACTTGTAATGATCCACCTACCTCAGCCTCCCCAGGGCTGGGATTATAGGTGTGTGCCACCACACCAGGCTATGACAAGTTTTTTTTTTGTTGTTTTGTTTTGTTTGAGACAGGGTCTCATTGTAGTTGAGACTTACCTGGAATTCACTATGTAGTCCAGGCTGGTCTTGAACTCACAGTGATCCTGCTGCCTCAGCCTCCTGAGTGCTGGGATTACAGGTGTGCGCCACCACACCCGGCTATGACCAGTAAGTTTTAAAGCACATTCCCTATTACTTGTTATATTCTAAGTGCAGAAACAACCTCAACAACTAAGAGCCACTTTTTCTAAAAGGTTAATCTACGTAAGAAAAATCAAATTATTCTTTAAATATACCTCATGCTGGGGGAATAGCTCAGTTGCAGAGCATTTGCCTAGCATGCATGAGGTGGCCCTGGGTTGGATCCCCAACACCACAAAAAAAAAGTACTTTAATAAATAAAGAAAATGTGGTATACATACACACAGGCATATTATTCAACTATAAAAAATAATGAAATTCTGTCATTTGCAGTAACTTGAATGGAATTGGAGGACATCATATTAAGTATGCTCAGAGAAACACTTACATGTGAAAGTTAAAAAGTTAATCTCAGGCCGGGGATTTAGCTCAGTGGTTCCAGTGCCTGCCTTACAAATGCAAGATCCCAAGTTCGATCTCTGGTACCAACAATAACAAAGTGAATCTCACAGAAGTAGAAAATAGTAGTGGTTACCAGAGCCCGTGAAGGATGTGAGGAAGGATAGACAAATGACAGTTAATAAGTGTGGGGTATGGTTGGACAGGAAAAAGAACTCCTACGTTCTATAGCACAGTAGAATAACTATAGTTGACAATTAATTGAATATTTCAAAATAACTAGTCAGGAAGATCAAAAGTTTGAGGTCAGCCTTCTCAACTTACTTAGTGAGACTCCCCCACCCCCAACTGGCCGAGAATATAGCTCAGGGTTAATCTCAAATACTGTACCAGGAGAAAAGAAAAGTCAGAGAGGATAAATTTGCCAACTGCCCTGATTTGATCATTATACGCTATACACATGATTGAAATATACTATACCCATTAATTACTATGCATCGATTAAAAATAGAAATATAAACCAGGCATAGCAGTGCATAGCTACAATGCCAGCTACTATAAAGGTTGAGGCAGGAGAATCATCAAGCTCAAGGCCAGCCTGTACAACTTAGCAAGATCTTGTCTCAAAATAAAAAGGGCTAGGGATGTAGCTCAGTTCTTCCTGGGTTCAACCTCTGATCACACATACCACACACACACACACACACACACACACAATATTTATATAATATGGATAAAAACTGCATTACATAATTAAGAAACATAATGCACCTCATTTTTTGTTTCCTTCTTTTTTAGCCGCCTAATTTTTTCCATCTTCCTCTCCTCTTTGTCAAGTCTTCTCTTTGATTTTACTTTTGCTTTTCCTCCAATTCCTTCTTCATCATGCACAGATTTTTTGGAAGTCTTTCTGTCAGGGGTAAAGTCCACAGAGTTCCCAGTTTGGAGACTCAGGTCTAAGCGAGATGTCACTTGAGTTTCAGAATTTTCCTGACCCAAAGACTCCTCCATGTTACTTTCATCACTGTCAGCCAGAGTTTTGTAAATCCTTTTGATTTTTCCACTTCTTCCAGCAAGTAAGTTCTCTTTATCCTCCTCAGCACTGTCATAGGTAGTTTTCTCTGGAGAGGCATTCGTATCCTCTGATTCAGAATCACTGTCTTGTATCACCTTCCTGCTCTTCAGCTTCTTATTCATGAATATCTCTTCATCTGAATCTGGAGAAAACAGTATTTTAAGAAGGTATACAAGGGCCAGGGATTTACCTCAGCAGCACAGCAACTGCCTAGGAAGTGCAAGGTCCTGAGTTCAATCCCCAGGACCAAATGAAAATAAAAAAGGTATACAATAATTTAGCCTTTTTCCTAGTCCCATTATTTCTCAAAAATATACTCCATTATACAAATAGTATATCACCTTGTGAAATTATGTAACTTTCATGAAGAACTGAATGTAGCAAAGTATACCTAAAAATATATCATGAAAAACATTTTCTTTGGAAAAACGTTTCTTGTTGAGAAATGTAATTATATATATTTATAATGTGTAAAGTTATTCTAATCCTTCTGGCAGGTGTTAAAAAATCCTTTTATTATAGGTTGAATGCATTTAGCAAGGCAATGTAGTAGCTATTAGACATTTTGTGTTCAAGAATATAACAGAAATAGATATTTTTAAAAAGGTATAAACACTGTTATTTTGCTTCCATAACAAAAGAAACAATAAGGTTGGGGCATTAACAATTTAATATACCAAGAGAATAAAGAAATTAATCCAATCCATTTACAACCCAGGCTCCCAAATTCTATTCCTAAAATTAAAGTCCTGAATATTACAAACCTCTTTCTCTCAAGGGCTCAATTGTTTCAAAGCTGCCTTGTCCACTGTCTGAAAGACTGCCTGCTTCTTGTGAAATGAGTTTTAGGTTGCTGACTTCTAGGTGAATCTAGAAAATAAGAATAAACTTTGTATTCACCAGGACAAGAAAGGAAGTTCCAAGTACATACTGATACACAAATCATGGGGGGGGGGAGTATCATCAAGCTGAAATAATCAATACAATGGTTTCACAAAGCGAAGACATTTACAGTTACTGAACAAAAAGCAATTGCTACATATTGGAAGGATGCTAATAGAATGAACTTTTAAATTATAATAATTATAATTGCACAAATTAACCGGATTCACCATATTTTCATATACACAAACATCTACATAACATCACATCCATCCACCCTTCAACTCTTGCCCCTTTATTTCTAGGACGTAGTAATCTTTTTACTTTTAAGTCATCCTTTTTTCCTAAGTTTTTACATATGAGAACAAGCACTGCTCGCCTCTTTGCCTCTGGCTTATTTTGCTTAACATGATTCCCTCTATTTCCACCCCATTTTCTTGCAGGTGACAGGATTTCATTCTTCTTTGACTGAATTGTACTCAATTGTATATACACACATTAGTTTCTCTATCCATTCATATTTTGACAGAAACCTAGATTTACTCCTTATCTTCACTTTGGCTGTAATAGGTAACAGGTATCTCTTAATTTAATGTATCAAGAGAAAAATGAAATTAATCCAGATTTCATGTCCAAGAACCAACTCTATGTGTAATGGTAAATAAATAAAAATTAAACATTACTATGCTTTTTCTGTGTGACTTATTCCTTATTATGCCCAAATAATTGGTGAAGGGAATCATTCCTTCAGGGAAATACCCTACTTAATAAAGAAATGACAGAATTAGACTCATCACAGTTTTACCAACCATTGAAAATAACAGATCTAGGCAATAATCATTAATTGCTGCTGACATTACCAGAAGAGAAACAACCAGACACTAGTAAAGCCTAATAGAAGTACCCAACATCACCTACGAAACATTCTCGTCAGAACAAGCAAATCTGAACCTCTAGACCTAACAATCCATTTTTACAAAATATAGGGAACATCACTTCTCGGCCTTTTGGCTAAGATCAAGTGTACAAAATATAGGGAACAAAGGAACACGTTAGATAACACTACAGAGATACAACCTAGATGCAGGAAACTCTACAGGACAATATAGGTGATGTCTTTAAAAATTACAAAGTCAAAAAAAAAAAAAAAAAAAAAGAGACAATATAGGTGATGTCTTTAAAAATTACAAAGTCAAAAAAAAAAAAAAAAAGAGAGAGAGGGAGTAGAAACCTATAGACTAGAGAGAGTTAAACCAGGCAGGGTGGTACACATCTATAATCCCAGTTACTCTTGAGACTGAGGCAAGAGGATTTCAATTTGTCTTAAATAAAAAGGGCTGGGAATGTAGTTCAAGGGCTCCTTAGGTTCAATCCTCAGTTCCACAAAAAATAAGATAAAATAGGAGATACACATATATATTTAGGACTTTAAATCCTGATTCAAATAAAAACAAAAATATGTGAGTCAAAAAAATCTGGACACTGATTAGATGTTTTCTAGGCGTGGTAATAATATTCAATAATATTGCAGTTATTTTGGAGGCTACCTTCGTCTTTTAGAAATACATTGAAATATTTGTGGATGAAATAGCATGATGTCTGAGATTTTCTTGCAAATAACCCAGTGAAGAGGGAAAGAAACAAACTAAGTGAATAAGGGAAGAAACAAACCAAGACAGGCCATGATTTAATAATGGACAAAGTGATGGATTTGTTATACCAAGCTTTGTACTTTTATACACATTTGGAAATCTATAATGAAAATGGTTTAAAAAGTTACAGAAACCTAAGGAGAGTTAGGTGATTTGATCAGTATATAAGTAACCAACTGGACCCTACATGCCAGGTCTCCTACTTCCTCGGTTTCTCGGGGCTTTGAGTCAACTTACTATTAATAAGGGGGGAAATATTAGTATCTGTAACATAACAGGGCACAAGCTTCATCTGACGATTTCTCAAAAAGCAAGCTGATTTGGATACCTGGCACAACTGTTAAAACAGCTAAAGATAGGGGCTGGGGATTGCACTCAGTGGTTCCACCGCTTGCTTCACAAGCAGAAGGACCCAAGTTCAATCCCCGGTACAAAAAAAAAAAAAACACAAAAAACTAAAGACAACGTTTGAGGAATAACTGAAGATTATCATGTATGGTATGTGCTGATGACATTCCAACACTCAAAGCAGTGAAACTATTTGTTTTGTTTGTGTGTCTTGAAAACTGAGCTGAGGTAACCACAGCTCAGTACATGGTGATGCCCTTAATAACCTGGTCTAGGCAATTTGCAGCAGTATTAGCCATGTCAAAGTGCAGGGGCAGAAAGGGAGAGGTGGGGGGGGTGTCTCAAAAAATGTATTAATCAAGATAAATAAATCTTAATGCAATAGATTTTTAAAATCAAACTGGCAAACTTGGCTCATGAGGTCATCCACCTTCTTTTGTAAACAGTTTTATTGGAACCAGAGCTTCTACTATTGGATTAGGATCAGGTGAGCCAGGATCTTGCGGTCAGATACTGTCTTTATTTAAGTATGCCAGGTGTGGTGGCCACGCTTGTAATTCCAGCGCTTAGGAGGCTGAGGCATGAGGATGGCTGCGAGTTCAAGGCCAGCCTAAAGCACACAGCAGGACCTTGCTGTCTCAAAAAAAAAAAATCCAGGGCCAGGGATTTAGCCTAGTGGTGTCGCCACCTGCCCCTGAAAACGCCAAGAACCCGGGATTGATTTCCGGTACCAAAAAAAAAAAAAAAAAAAGTCCGATATTGATATTTTGTTCAATATCAAATCATGTGAATTTTTGCACTAATTTTTGTTTTCAGTACTGGAGATTGAACCTAAAGTGTTCTACTACTGAGCTTACCATTCGCCCTTTTTGAGACAGGGTCTTGCTAAGTTGCCTAGGCTGGCTTCGAAATTGACAGCTTCCTGCCTCAATCAGCATCCTGTGTAGTTGAGGTTATAGGTGTGGGCCTCTGAGCTGAATTTACTTTTTAAAATTACATTAAAATAAAATCTAATTAGATTACTGGGAGAGCCTGAAAATGTTTGTTTTTCTATGCCCAATCCCGCCAGCGGGCGGTCAACCACCAGACCCGACCCTATCCGAAAATTCAGGGGACTCGTGCGTGACGACCCCCAAGTGCCTCCCAGGCCCAGGCCCAGTTCGGAGCTTCCTAACACCCTCGCCCCGCAGCTACAAAGCTCCAGCCCCGAAACCCCGTGGCCGGAAGGGCCTCCTCTGCGGCGCTGCAGGAGGAGGAGCTCCCGCATGAGGAAACGCGCCAAAGGGAAAGGCTGCCCGCTAGAGAGGTAGGAGCCCCGCGGGCTGCCGCCGGGACAGTGCGCGGGAAGCCGGCTAGGGAGTCCACGCCAGGAC